ACCTTTATTCCGAAATCGTGGATTTTTGCGTGGTATACAAAAGTCCTGTATACCCTGAAGACATAATAGGGCTCTGTTTACTGTGCCTACTTTGCAAAATAAAATCTTTGCCCAACGGTTAATAAACAATTAAAAAAAAAAAAAAAAGAACCTGACACGGAACAGTGAGATCATGACCTGACCCAAAATCAAGTCAGACGCTTAACTCACTGAGCTACCCAGGCACCACATTCCTTTCTTTTAATTTGGGGACAGATAGGATTGCTAACTTTTTATTTTGCAAAGTAAGCACATTAAACAAAACCCTATTATGTCTTCAGGATATAAAGGACTTTTGTATACCACGCAAAAATCCACGATTTCGGAATAAAGGTCAGTATTCTAACTTTATGGGGGATAACTTGCCACAACAACCTCATTTGTCTTATGTCGCCTGGGACTGGTAAAGACTTGCATGTGATGTCAGGCATCTTGGGAACTGTTGTGGCCCACAGTGCTCCCCTCCCTGCAGCTAGCTGTTTGATATGCAGGGAGTCTTTGTCTCCAAGTTGGCCTGCACAGTGGGGAGCACGATGGGAGAGTGTGGCAGCGCTTTGTACCTGCTGCGGAGCAGGACCCCACAAACTACTTTGGTGAGGGATGAGGGCCCCAGGCTGTGGGAGGAGAGAGGAAGCCAGAAATGCAGCTGACCTACCTTGGGTCCCAGGGGCCAAAGGACGAGCTGGAGTTGGTCCCTGCCAGGGCTTTGTCCCTGCCCCTGCCTGCATGTAAGCTCCCTCTCCACTCTGGTGTCCCAAAGATCGGCGAGGGGGTGGGTTTCCCAGGAAATGGCACTCCTGACATGGACAGTGGTGCTTTCGAAATGGGTACCTTCAACCATGGTGGGACTGGTGGCAAGACCATTCCAAGGGCTCTGGTGAACTCGTAATAGCAAGTGGGGCTGACTTTGGCCATGGGTCAGTGAGGCCCCCTTGGGGGACTTTATAAGGAGGGGTTTGTGGCATTTGGGGGCAAGAACAGGAACCCTGCACTAGTGACAGTGAAGTAACAGCTGTTTTGGAATTTAGAGCTAATCTTCCCAAGGATATGGTGTGCAAGGAGGAAGGGAGGGCAGAGGTTGGGGAGTGGTGGAAAGATGGGCTAGGAGAAGCTGTCCCAGCCCCATTTATGCCTCTTTTGTACCCCCAGACCAGCCTGGTGGCCATTTGTCCATGCCGCACTTCTCTGCCTGGGTCAGAGCTGAGGATAGGTAGGCATTTTGGGAGAGGAGCTTGTCAGGCTAAATGGCTTTCCAACTGGTGACAATTTTAAGGATATAAAAAGTTCAGGAAAGGGTGAGGAGGAGCAGGATGGTGAGGTCAAGGGGCTGGTATGGACACAAGGCAGACATGGCCAGGAGTTGGTCCCAGCAGTCATACTGGGGAGTGTATATATGTGTATATGGTATGGGATGTTGGAACACAGAATCACGGTTTCTGAGTGTAGAATTTCCCGAATGTAAATCAACTCCATGTTCAATTGTAATGCAGTGGAGTAGCAGCTACCTGACTGAGAAGCTCACCAAATCCCAGGCTGGACTTCAGCTTGGCAAGGATCAGGGCCTCGATGTCATCAGCCCTCTCAGACTCACACAAACCTAACATATAAGAGACTGAGAGATAAACCAGATCCAGATGAATCATTTTAATAGGGAGAGTTATCTGATAGGCTAACTGACCTCAGACACTTGCAGTATTTTGATTAGTGGCTTTTTTTTTGAGTGGGTATCTCTTGGCGCATGGTAAACATCATCCTTTTCTGTTGGTGTTGGGTTTTTTCTGTTTTTTTTTTTGTTTTTGTTTTTGTTTCTTTGTTTTTTTAGAGACAGAGACAGAGTGTGAGCGGGAGAGGGTCAGAGAGAGAGAGAGACACACACACACACACACACACACAGAATCTGAAGCGGGCTCCAGGCTCTGAGCTATCAGCATAGAGCCCAATGTGGGGCTCGAACTCATGAACAGTGAGATCAGACTCAAGCCGAAGTTGGACGCTTAACCGACTGAGCCACCCAGGCGCCCCCTTTTCTGTTGGTTCTTATGGCTGTGTCACGTCCTGTGCTCATTCCATGCCACACCTGTTAACATTCATCCTTGCCACAGTTCCACCTGCTAAAAGGGAGGCTGGCAAACTTTTTCTGTAAAGGGCTGTGTGGTAGAGATGTCAGGCTTTGCAGGGTCCATGTATCGCAGGGTCCAAGTATTCAACTCTGATGTGGTAGCACAAAACCAGCCATAGACAATACAGAAATGGATGGCTGTGGCTGTTTCCACAAACTTCATGGACCCTGAAATTTGCATTTTGTGTAACTTACCATGTCACAAAACAACCTTTTGATCTTTTAAACCAGTGAAAAATGCAAAAGCCACTCTTAGTTTGCAGGCTGTACAAATAGGCAGGCGGGCTGGATTTGGCCTACAACTACCCCTGAGCTAGGGGATAGCATTCCTGCATATTATACCATGGCCACTGCTTTGCTGGTGGGATTTAGGCATCTCCACACACCTTTACCAGGTAGAGCTCCATTAGGGTGTGACTGCTGCATGGTGAGTGCATTTTCCTCACCTCCTTGTGCCTTCTCCGTGTGAATGAGTTTATAGGTGCTGGGGTTTGCCCCTTAGAGCCTGTAGGGGTCTTAAAGACCATGATGTCTAGTGCCCTCCTGGTACACATGTGACCACTGAGGCCAGGACACAAGAGAATGGCCCAGAACACCCGAGAGTTGGTGGGAAAGACTGGGGGCATATCTGCAGCCTGGAGTACATAGTAACTGCTCAACCTCACAGTAGCCAGTATTTTTTTTTTTTTTAGCTGTTACAAGACTCACAAGTACCTCTCTGCTCACTGTGTCTCAGATCACCCATTTCTCATCATATCATGAAATCCTCACCATAACCTTTATTGGTCCAGCCAGGATCTCAACCCTGTCTGGCTCCAAAGCACACGTTCTTAGCAGCCATTTACTCACTGGGATTCCTAGTGGTTTCCCTGCCTCTTTGATACTGCGGGACTGTAGCTGGTTAACTCCCCAACCTCAAGCAACCTCCATGTTTGCTCCTTTCCCCTCATTAATTATTGGGGTGATGCAGGAAGTTGTGAGAAATAAAAAATAAGGGGGAAATGCCTGGATTATGCTTTGTATATAGTGTTACCTAGCTACTAGGTATTTGTTAATTCTCCAGGTAGTTAGTGTCATTGGATAAGTACTGCCTGAAAATCAAGACATCCACTTACTCCTTACATGTTTTGTTTTTCTAGCCCCAGGATTCAGAGCAATGGATGGAAGTCATACGGGGAAAGATGTCGGGTCTATGTAAAGGAGACCCCTGCCCCCTACTATGGCTCAGGGGGCAGGAGACGCTTGTGCGGAGGTTGTCTCTGGAGGTGCTGGCGGGGCAGAGTGGGGTGGGGAGCCCAGGAAACCTGCCTGGGGTACACTGGGGGTACGTGGTAGTAGCCACCCTCTAAGGAGGATGTGATCCAGGGCAGCCCTTGCCGAATAATGGCAGGGACAGGCTCGACGCCGCCGCTCTGCCACTCCGCAGAGCAGTGGAGCTCTCTCTTTGTCCTGGAGAGCTGGCTGCAGCTGGAGCCCTTCTGGAGGGTGTTCACGTCAAAGGCTGCGGCGGGCATTTTGCGGTTCAGGGCAGTGTTGGAATCTGATTTCGCTCAGCCCCGGAGATGGACTCCGTTTGCGGGGGTTCATGGGAAAGGACTGCAGCGCGTCTGTCGATCATTGAGCACGTTTTCACATCGACGCTGCAGATGTGAACTTGCGCTTTCAGCGCATTCATCAAAGCCTAGGGAGAGCTGACCCTGCGTCTCCCCCCTCATCTCCCGGGCCCAAGGCGTTCTGGCTCCAGGAGCCCTCCCCCCCTCCCCCCGCCCCGCTTCCCTCTCGCCTGCCCCGGCGCCCCCGGCCTTGGGCTGATTTCCTTGAGACGTGCCGCTGTTTGCCAACAGCAGGCAGCCACGAAAACGGCCCCTTTCTTTCATCTCCGGACGGGGTTCCACTACAGTTTCCTGCAGGGATCGGCGAGTGGGCGGGCAGCCAGTTGTGAACAGCGAGCTCAGCCAAAGCGACTGGGGCAAGAGCACAGTGCTGCGTCCTGGAGCCGCAGCTGGAAGGGACTCCCAGGGAACAGCCTTTTACCGGGAAGACGCCAAGTCCGGAGGGAAAGAGCCCTGTCCAAGGTCACCGGCTGGCAGAGCGCACCTGTCGTATGCGCCGCCTCGAGTCCGCTCCGGGCCGGGAGGAGTCTGGCGCGCGGAATGGAAATCACTGCACACCCCGGCCGCCCGCGCCTCTGGCTCTTCTGCCACTGTTGACACTCCAGACCCGCAGGCTCACCTCTCAAGGACTGGGCGGGGGTGGGGTGGGGGTGGGGAGGCCTTTTGGGCAACCAGCAACGCGCTGGCTCTCGCCGCAACCCGGGCGGACCCACCCGCCGGGTGCCCACCCGCCACTGCCTCGCTCACCAGCCGGCACCCAGGGTGAGGGCCCGCCCTCAGACTGCGGCCCCGCCCCTCGCGCGGCGGCCCCGCCCCCCGAGACTGCAGGCTGGCCCCGCCCCTCGCGCCACAGTCGCAGCCCCGCCCCGCCGCACCTGGCCCCAGCCAGGCGCGCCCCCCAGCGCCAGCGCTCGCGCGCGCTCCTCATCCGCCCTCCCGGGGGTGTGCGGCGCGCACCGGCTCTGGGCGGGGCCCTGCAGTGGCGGCGGGGCTCCTCCTCCTGCTGCTCCTCCTCCTCGCTCCCAGCACCTCCCCGACCTCCCCCTCGGGCGCTCTCGCGCTAACTGCGCTCTTCCGGGGCCCCTCTGCCCGCTGCCAGCCATGGTGCTCTGGCGCTCGGCGTTCTTCATCTGCCTCGCTTTCTCCTTGGCCACTCTGGTCCACAGAGGTAAGGCGGGCGGGGGGCGCGCGGGGACCCCGCCCTGTGGGCCCGCGGGGCGGGGGCTCGGCGCCCCGCGGCCCCGTGGTGCGCATGAGCGGCCCGGCCCCCACCTCGTAGGCCTGCGGCGAAGGCTGCGGGCGGGTGGGCGGGGCAGTGGGGGTGCGGGCCCCGGGCCCGGGGGGACTGACCTTGCCGCGATTCAGGTGGTTGGAGAGGAGGGACCGGGACCCCTCTGGGTGCTGGGCTAGAAACAGCGGGTTAATCCTCCCTTAAAATCCTGAAAGAGGTGTCACCGCCGGTGACAACAGCTGTCCCCAGGAGATTGCTTTTGGGAAAACCTTGAAGAGAGCACACTCATTCCCTTGAGCGGGGCTTCTCAGAAAGAGCACACTCATTCCCTTGAGCGGGGCTTCTCAAAATGTGTTTTGAGGCCACCTGCAGCAAAAGCACCCAGGGAGCTTCCTGGGCGAATTCCTACCCCCTTTTGTCAGGATATTTGCGGGGACGGGATGGGGGGGCAGCGATGTGTAGGTCTAACCAGCTCCCCAGGTGCTTCTGGTGCCCGCCCCAGTTTTCTAGCCATTGGCGACTTTTGCCAAGGAGGTAGAGAGAAATGCTGCGGAATCAAAAGAGCAAGTGTCCTAGAGCCGCACTACTCCAAGTGTGGTCCAAGGGCCCTCGTAGGCATCGCCTGGGACTTGTTGGGAATGCAGCATCTCAGGGCCCGCCCCTGACTTAGTCTGATTCTGCGTTTTAACTAGATCCCCGTGTTGTTCGCAGGCATATTTGAGAAGCATCTTAGAATAAATGCAGTGTGTGGTTAAAAATAGGACCTCCAACGTGTACAGACAGAATCTTCTTACACTTATTTATATCCCATCTCCACATCAGAAAAAGGTTTGAGGAAAACACTGCAATTAAGTAGAGTTGGGCTCTGAGCTTCCTGACAAGGAAGGCAAATTCAGCTAGTGAAAAACATGAGCTCAGCAAAAACAAAACTTTGTCCTTGTACTGAGTGCTAGTGAGATTTATGTTACACACGAGGAACACTGGAAAACAGTAGACAGTCTAAGGTAGTTTTACAAAAGATGCAGAAATATTTCTCATGTGGGCAGCCATCCTGGACCTGATACAAGAAGAGCCATTGAACATTCTACAAAGGTGTCAGGCTCTGTTCCAGACACCGATGATGCAGCAGTGAATCAAACTAAGACTGCCTTCCTGGAGCTAACGTCCTGGTGTGGGGAGAAAACAAGCATAGACATCACAATCTACATAATATATTGTTAGTGCTGTGAAGGAAAATAAAGCAAGTTACAGGGTTGTTGCATTTTCTGTTTCATTTTTCTTCTTCGGGGTTAACATTTTAATTTTTTATGATGCATTTGTGGGAAAAAGTGTAATCGCTTGATTGACTTTTGTTGGTATGGAATGTTTGAAAGTGCATGCACAGAAAAATTAGAAAAATGATATTCCCTTCAAGGCTATATTCTTCAACATGGTATGCACACTGAGAGGAGGAATAGAAATGAACAGGTCTCAGATTTGCACCATGATGTGTCATACTAGGTGATTTAGGAGGTGCTGGAGGAGTCTGCGAACCATTGCAACCATTTTACAGGTGAAAGTGGCACAGAGAAATGTGAGGTAACTTGCCTCAGGTGGCAGAGCTAAGATTTGACCCCAGGCTTGTCTGATGCCACAGTCCTTGCTTATAAGCACCTGGAGGGTGCCCTCCTGCCTTGGGAAAGTTTTCTGAATTTCACTTGGTTTGCTCGGCCTTGTTAGGCCTAACAATGGCGTTTTGGGGGGACCAGGAGTATGTCACTCTCAGATCTGTGGCCCTGCCACCCGCTACCACCTCCTGAGTGCTTGCTGTGTGCCAGGCACCTCACATGTCTTGTTTTCAGTTGCCCCAACTGGCAACTGGCTCTGGCAAGTTGAGAGAGACTGTATTTTAGTAGTTCTGAAAAATCCTCTGAGGACAAATATGTTGCCTGTATGCACCTACAGAAATGGGAAGCTGATCTTTTGTGTGGTGGGGGAAGAATCACAGTGGTACAGGAGGGGAGTAACGATCACGAAGGTTCCATTTCCCCAAATGCCTTCCACGCACCAGGCCCTTGGTGCCTCACACATGTTTACCCCTCATAACCACCCTGAAGGTTTTGACAGTATGACCCCTCTCGCCTTCTTGTGTCCATAACGGCCATTTGTATATGGCCTTGGAAAGTAACTCACTGGTAACCCATTTCTCAGATGAAAAATGAGTGGCCCAGTGAGGTTTAGGACTTAAACTCAGGTTTGTCTGAATAACGAAAGCAGGGGTCATGAACGTAGATGACCTCTCTGCCTCGGTTTCCCCATTTGTAAAATGGGGATAACCACAGCATCCACATCAAGGGATTGTTAGCAGGATTGAATGAATACAGATGGATAAAGTGCTTAGCACAGTGTGTGGCTCCCAGCGAGCTGTTAGTAATTCTTACGTTGCCTAAAACATTCCAAGCCACGGTTTAAAAATACGCAGTGCAAACCTTGAAAATATTAAGCTAAGTGAGAGAAGCCAGACACAAAAGCCCACATATTGTATTGTCCATTTATATGAAAGGTCCAGAGTTGGAAAATCCATAGAGACAAAAAGTACATGACTGGTTGCCAGAGGCTTTTGGGGGGTGATTGGGGAATGGAGGAGTGACTGCTTCATAGGTGCAGTTTCCTTTTGGGGTGATGAAAATGTTCTGGAACTAGATAGAGGTGATGGTTGCACAGCCTCGTGAATGTACTAAGAGCCATTGAATTGCACACTTTTAAAGGGTGAGTTGTATGGTGCGTGAATTATATCACCGTTAAAATTTTTTTTAATATAAAAAATTTTTATATGTCCACTTAAAAAAATTCACTGTAGTCCAAGCAGAACAAATGAGAGTGATGGCAGCCTGTGACCCCTGGGACTTGGTCACATAGGGGAGAGAGGAGAGCAGTGGTCCCCAAGTGCTGGTGGTATTGGGATGCTAGGCTGGGATCGAGGCAGAAGCCCTATGGGCCTCCTTGGGATGGGATATTGGGTATGAGCCAGACAGGCCACAGGGGCATGTGCTGGGTTGGCCAGATCTGCCCAATCCCTCCAGCCTCCATCCCTGACTTTCCTGGGTTCTTCCAGCACTTGGTGTTGGTGCTTTTCCTGCTGTGTGCCCACTCCTACTCTTTGCACCTGGCATGTCCTCATCTGCTTTTCTGGGTGGGCTTGGGGAGGCCTGGCTGCAGGGGGTCCTGTCTGCCAACCCAGACTTGGCTCTCCCTGAGTCTTACTCACAAGTCCACTGATTAGCCGATCTCGGTTTGCATGTAAAAGGTTAAAAAGTCACCGTAAACGTCTAACCAAAACTTGTGGGCAGTACTTGAAAGAAGGGAGATGATCCACATGAGGGTGAGTGGGAAGCTGTGCTGGGTTCCCGCAGATAGCCAAGCCCTAATCCCTGGCACCTGTGACTGTTAGGGTACGTGTAAAGAGGAATTAAGGTAGCTAATCAGCTGGCCTTAAATAAGATTCTCCTGTGTTATCCTGGCCAATTGAGGGACAAGGGTCCTTTATGGAAGGTGGAGGTAAAGGAGTGAGAACGGTGCGATGTGAGAGAGATTTGGCCCAAAGATGGAGGGCCACAAGCCAAGGAATGCACACACAACCTCTAGAAGCTGAAAAGGGGGACAGACTCTCCCCGAGAGCTTCCAGAAGGAACAGAGCCCCGCTGACACCTTGCTTTTAGCCCCAGTGAGACCTGTGTTGGACTTCTGACCTCCAGAACCGTAAGATTAAAGAAATGAAGTGTGTGTTTGAAATCTTTCGGAATTTGTTGTAGCCGCAAGAGCAAACTAATAGAACAACTAAGGGGTAGATAATAGCTTCCTCTTCATTCCTTGAAAAAACTAGCTTGTGCCGTCTCCTTACATTGTTTTGGTTTTGCTATCTTAAACCAATTCCCAATATGCTCTGAGTTCAAGAGTTTAAATGTGCAGAAAATTGGATTGCAGTGATGTTCTTGGTGTGGAAATGGGCGTTTAGAAGCACCTCTGAGGGCCCTGGGAGACCGCTACATCCTTTTTGCCTGGGTTTGATTTTTTAGAGCTACTTCACAAGGAAATTGGAGTTGGTGCCTACCGTGCCCCCGCCC